GGCTGGGGCACGGCTCGGGCGGCCTCCCTCCCTTGCCGGGTCCCCACAAGGCACCCAGCACCAAAGGCACAGGACCCCCCAGGCCCAGTGGGATGGGAGCTTGTCCTGGACATTAGGTGAGATGCAGCTGAGACCGCAGGGCCCAATAAGAGCCACGCTTCAGTGCCAGCCCTGGGCACCCAGGCAGGCAGGGGCCGGGGTGTTCACTGGCACCGGCCGCCCAGCCCCCTCCCCAGCCATCCCACCTCACTGCCCTGTCTCTCTACATGGTGCTGACCCACTTTTACCTACCCTGTTGGAACTTCCTGTCTTTGTCATTGTCTCACCCCGCCCCCCATTAGAATGTTGCCTCGATGAGGCTGGGCTGTTGATCTCTGTCTCCAAGCACTCAAGTGCCTGGCTCCGGGTGGGGACTCAGCACGTATTTCTCCAAGTCTTGAAAACAGGTGTTCTGGTGAGAAAGACAAACAAAACCGAAACAAGCAAGAGAACTTGGCTGTAGAGATGTGTGCCTAAGTGACAGGGAGGGGCCATGCTGAGGTCTGTGGGCACCTGTTCTGGGAAGGGGCATGGTAGGGTCGGGCGGGTGTCAGAGTGCTGCCCAAGCAGAGTGAGGTCGGCTCCTGGGGCGCAATGGGACCCGAGCTGTTTCTTTCCTACTCTCCTGCCCACCCCCCAGAGGAGTGAACCAACTCCCAGTGAGACAACCCCCAGCCCTATTGAAAATGGTCGACTTGCAGTCTGACTTCAATCTGAGAACCGTCCTGGTCAGTTTCAAGCAGTGTCTCCTGAAGGAAGATGTGCTGCTGGAGCACTACCTCGCTGGCTGGAGGGGCCTGGTCAGGTGCGTTGAGGGGCCACTGCCAAGGCAGGCCTTCCCCAGCCACACACCCCGGGCAGTGGGCACCGCTACACCCCCGGCTCAGCCCTTGCCTCCCCTCACAGGTTCCTGAACAGCCTGGGCTCCCTTTTCTCCTTCATCTCCAAGGACTTGGTGGCGAAGCTGCAGATCATGGAGGGCCTGTGCAGTGGCCCCCAGCAGCACCACTACAGCAGCCTGCAGTCCATGGTGGCCTATGAGGTGGGCAACCAGCTGGTGGACCTGGATCGCCGCTCCCGTCACCCAGATTCGGGCTGCCGGACGGTGCTGCGGCTGCATCGGGCACTGCGCTGGCTGCAGCTCTTCCTGGAGGGCCTGCGCACCAGCCCTGAGGATGCGAGCACGGCCATGCTCTGCACCGACTCCTACAACGCCTCACTAGCTGCCTACCACCCCTGGATCATCCGCCGGGCCGCCACCGTGGCCTTCTGCACGCTGCCCACACGCAAGGTCTTCCTGGAGACCATGAACGTGGGGTCCGCTGAGGAGGCTGTGGAGATGCTGGGCGAGGCCCTGCCCTACATCGAGCACGTATACAATGTCTCCCAGAAGCTCTATGCTGACCACACCCTGCTGGACCTGCCCTAGGGGCCAGCAGGCCCAGGCTGGGAGGGCTTTCCCTTCTCTGGAGTTGGGCTGGGGCAGCCAGGGCCCATCAGTCCTACCACGGAACTTTCTGGGTGCCCCAGGAGCAGAAAAGCCACTATCCCCCTGCGAGCTGAGCTTGTGGGGAGCCATAGGCCTAGTGTGGCCCACCCAGGCTGCAGACAGAGAAGGCAGGCGCCGGCCAGGTGGGTAAAATGCAGAACACAGGGAGGGTGGGGGCAAGATCAGAGTCCATGCAGAAGCCTGAGAGGCTGCGCTCACCCATGGGTCGAGTCTGCAAAACGGGTGAGTCACGGGTCTCTGGAGAGCAGACTCCTTACCAGCCGACGTATCCAGCTGGTGGTGTGTGTGCTTCTCGCGTCTGTTGGGTTCCAGGCCCAGGACCCAGTATCTGTGGCCAGGTGGGCTCCCTATGGACTCTCCTTACCAGGCTGGCTATCCCCAGAGCAAGGAGGGAACCTGGGCAGCTGTTGGCACTGCATCTGGTTCCTTGCCCCTCGTTGCCTTGTTGGCCAGGGGCCCACATGTCGTCAGCATGACAGCAGGGACGTGGAGCCCCAAGCACAGTCCCACCCTGCCTCTGTAGCCCCGCACATCAGCAGCCTCCTGCAGCCACAATGTGCTCCCCAAGGCAGCTGCTTGTGAGTCTGCACAGCACAGCCTCAGAGCCCCCCGGGAACCCATGACTGCTGGGCCAGCTGGCCTCTCCCTCCCCGGCTCCCAGCAAGATGCTGCATTCCCTCTCCCCTGCCCCTTGCTGCCCATCCCCATGGAGCTCAGGAGACCCAGGATGCACAGCACAGGCCGGGGCCTGGATCCCGTTCCCTAACAGGCTGGTAGACCCAGCCTTGCCTGCCCATGGCTCTTCACTGGAACCTCAGGACATCAGGTGCCAAAGGTCTGCACGCAGTGGGGACCCTTGGAAACTGTGATACATACGGGTGATGGTTTTCCAGCAGAAATAAATGACAATGTCACAAGTATGTTCTGGGCTCCTGGATGGGAGTATGGAGTGAGCCAGGCATCTGCTTACCAAGGGGGAAGGGGCTGAGGCCCCACTGTCAGGATGGCAGGGTAGTGTCCACCACGTGTGTCACGCCCCATCCACCATGGGGGGTTGCTGTCTGGCTGCCCTGTGCAGGGTTTAGCTTGGACACTGACCCCACCCCTGCCAAGGTCCACGGGATTATCATGTTATTGGTGAGAAGACAGACGCAGAATGGCCCCAGGGGCTGGGTTGGAAGGGCAGACCTGGGCCAGCTGCACCCCCTGCAGGAAGAAGAAAGCCTTGCCCAGCTAAGCCAGTGGAGCGGGAGCTGCTCTGGGCCACACAGTGTCAGGAAGGGTCCCCTTGAACATTCCACCCCTAGTGTGAGAGCCAAAGCCAGGCTGCCACCGCTGTACCCTATCCAGCTCTGCCCCACTCCAAACAGCCCAGAGCCCTGTGTGGTGCCAACAAAGACCGGTGACAATGAAGGATTTGCCTGGAAGGATAACCTGGGGTCCAGATGGGCCAGAGAGTGAAGGCTGTACACGTGTGAGCACAAGTATGCAGGTGCACTGCGTGCATGTACTGTGTCATGCAGGTGAGGTGCACTGTGTGTGTATCACGTGTGTTTTGTGTGTGTCATGGCTGTGCAGGTGCAACGTACTCACTGTGGGTGTTGTGCCCCATTTGTAGTACACGTGCATGTGCATGTACTGAGTGTGCTAAGCAATGTGGAGATGGGCAAACACTGGTCCCCAGATCACCACCTGTAAATGTCTGCCAGGCCCAGCCAGGGTTGAGACTCCTAGAGTCCCAACCCCAGGGGCGTTGCCAGCCTCCCCCAGCTCCTCTGGGTGCACCTCCACCCCCAAGCATGTCGTCAGTGAGGCCCCCAAGCAAGGGAACACAGGTCCCCAGGCACTGCCACCTGCCTGCTGCACACCTGGTGCTGACCCAGCTGCTGTGGCCCATTTGGTTGCAGCTTTTTCTTCCTCCTTTGCATGCAGGCCCCCCTGA